ACCGCTCCAAAACCACGATTCCACTATCCGCAGTAACTGCGTGGGATGGATGCGTGGTGACACGTCAGTAAAATCATCATTGCATGGGCAGAGGATCTTCGCCGCGTGTCTGTGCACTGCGTGGACCTAACCCAACGATGCTCGCGGTGCCTGTGGCTCAGGCTAGGGGGCTACTATCGGTGTACACAAACAAGGGTATTTGTTTACCCTTAACCGGTGCACAGACCAATATGGCTTCTCGAGCAAACTGGCCCGCTGGGCGTGTTATACTCAAGGAGAGCATTAAGAAGAGCAAGTGGGCAAGGAGATCACCTTGAGGAGGCCTCCCTTGCCGGGCAGGAGAGCCCGACCTGGTCGAGACCGCCTTTGAAGACTAATTAGCCCCGGCCGGGGCAACCAAAATCAGATCCCGCCAGGCTCCTTGCCGGCAGGCTCTCGCCAAGGCGCCACCGCCCCACCTCAACGCACCCAAGTCACTTATCGATGTGGTGTCAAGATCTCAAATAACCAGGTGAATCCAGTCGAGCACGTGGTAGCATAGAAGGAAGGAGATTAGCTTTATTGACACCCGTACAGGAGGCGTGTCATGCTAATAAGGAAGAGATGGATAAGCGGCGCGGCAGGCTTGCCGGGCTTCAACCTCAGCACGACACCTAGCAGTGCGTTTAATGCACTTTGTACTAACTGCTGGAGTTAGGTATGATAGCAATGTTAGCTATCTAATCACACTAAAATGACTGTTTTGCCACTATGTTCACCCCTTTAGCTATAAAAGGAGGTCCGAGGCAACGGAGCAAAGGATTCAAATTTTAGATCCCCCAACACTCGTACACACACGCTGCTCCCCCCGAGGCACCCTTGCCGAGCTTGAGCATGTCGTGTCTTCGCGTTCCTCCAGATCAATCCCCACAGTAGGAGTAGGGTTTTACGCTGCAAAGTGGCCCGAACCTGGGTAAAAGAGAGGTGTGCACCGCCGCACTGCCCCTGCAGTTTCTGCTCTTTGTGCAATGTGATCGTCCCCTTGACGAACCACAAAGGGGCATCCATGCCCCATGGATGATCATGCTTCCACGCCGACAATATGTTCCTATTGTTGCCTCCGGTTGGTTACCGTTGATGACGGTGAAGGTCGGGCCCTCCCGCGTGCTGGTGGACCTGTTGGCCCTAGTCCCGACTCTTCTTCTTCGCTGTGCACGCACCACTTCTCAGTGACGTGGTGAGACAGCGTGAGTGGCGTCAAGATTGTGTTGGCGCAGGGTGGTGGGCGGTATGGTGGAGTGCTCCGGAGCGCCTGAGACGATGGTTGGGATCAGGAGAAAACCCTGTCCGCTTGTCCGACACCGACGCAGCGGCGCCTGAGGGTGTCGCCGGGCCTTCCTGGAGGGCGTCGGGTGCTACCCTTCCCTCCTCCTCGCCGCGTACCTGGGGAAACCCTTGGCGGCACCGTCTGTCGTCGCCGCGTCACTTCTTGGAGGTGTTGTTTGGTACCAGCGCTTCGGAGTCTAGGAGCTTGGTTGGAGATCTCCGGAGGGTGCAACGATCGCGGGGCTTCTTTGTTTTTGTCGATTGCCGTGGTTGGCATTTTTTTTTTGGTTTCTTTTTTTTTGGCGTGATTGTGTTGCTTCCGTCCCAGCATCTATCATTGGCTATATCGGATGTTGGCTATATTAATTTAGGGGGGCGCAAGCCTGTTTTGAGAGAAAATCAGCCGTTTTCACACTCCGATAACGTCAACATATCATCGTTTAACTCCTAGCCCTAACATAAACTGCTAATCTCAGTCAGTAGAGGAATTCACTGCACCTGCATGTATGGGCTAGTAGCGCACTTCACAATGCCACCAGCGACGCGGCGCACAACGCCACGGCGGTGGCCACGTAGTTCGTGGGCCGACCCGCTGCCCGGCACGCAGAGCTCTTCCCATCCGCCTCATCTCCAGGCGTCGTCGCGTTGCCACCCTTGGCGCCGGGCGCGCTCGCCGCGGGCTCTGCGTCGGGCGGGGTCTCCTCCACGGGGGGCTGCGCGCTGAAGATCGCCTCCGGGAGCAGCACCCTGTCGATCTCGTACACCGCCATGGGCGCGACCCCGTACAGGGTGCCGAGGATCTTGGCATTGGCCCACCTCGACAGCAAGCGGATGGCCCCCGCGTCGTACGTCACGTTCACCATGTACATCCCGCCGGCGAGCGTCGTCACCGGGTTGACCCGGCTCAGGCCGTCGAACTCCTTGAGCGCGTAGTGCTTGGCCAGCGCGTGGTACATCATCAGGTTCTTGAGCTGGTGCTTCTTCAGACCCGACAGCACCTGCAACGGTTGCCAACATCGTATCAGATCGAGACGATAGTATGATTATTTCTTGTGTGATGAAAAATCAAGTTACCGACGGGTGGACGGCGGCGAAGGCCCTGTCGGCGGGGGCGAAGATGGTTATGCCGTGGTGCGTCCGGTAGGCCTGCTTCTCGAACACCTCCACGAGGTTGGTCTGATTGAGGTACCTGAAGAAGGTCTGGAAGGGCCGGTCTGGCGTCAGGATCTCGGTAAGGTTGGCGCGGGGGCCCACTTCATCGGCGAGCGGGCGGTGCGCACCGGCGAGCGGAACGGATAGGGACATTGCGGCGGCGAGGAACGAAACCACGAGCTTCATCGTGCAACTGCCGCAGTGAGGACGTGGCCTGACGTATGTCCGTTCTTTGTGCAGAGGCGAGAGCTTCGGCTAGCTTCCTAGTTTCCAGGCGGTTAAGAGGATCGATGCAGGATGGTGTCAAAAGACGGAGCGATGCAGAGCTCTTGTTCTTCAGAACGTAACTCAAAACAGAGACGTTGATTCACGTTCCCAAATAAAGTTGTTTGCTCTCAATGTCTCATGTTTATGATAATTCTACAATACATACAAGCAGTGCATACATTATGATGTGCGCCATTTACATTATGTTGTAGTACACCATTTCGGCGGAATAAATGAATTTACGAACACTTTCCGGAAGGAAATAAAAATTCATGGCACGTGCCAACGCATGCAAAGAATTATCCGACTACACCATCAAAAACCCGGAGACCAGCAGAACCACGTAGCCAAGTGCAAGGCTCCCTGCGCCAACGACCCGGCAGGACGAACTCTTGGCGTCCGCATTGTCACTGGCAGCACGCTCGCTGGCGCCCGGCGCGTCAGCCATCGCCTTGCCCCCACGTCCCGGCGCCGGCGCCGGCGCAGGCACGGGCGCCATCTCCGGGGCAGCCGGGAAGATCTCCTTGGGCAGCAGCACCCTGTTGAGCGCGTACACCGCGACGGGCGACGTCGAGTACACGCTGCTGGCGAGCTTGGCGGTGGCCCAGCCCGACACGACGCCGATCGTGCCCGCGGCGTAGGTGACGTTCACCTTGTACGCAAACATGGACACCTGGCTCGCCGCCGCCAGCGCGGAGAAGGCCGAGAGCTGGTAGTAACTGGGCATGGCGTGGTGCAGCATGAGCGACCGGAGCTGGTCGGTAGTGAGGTTGGACAGCACGGTCTCGTTGAGGGCCGCGAACGCCGAGTCCTGCGGCGCGAAGACGGTGATGCCCTGCTTCGTGTCGTTGGCCTGGCTCTGGAACGTCTTGATCACGTCGGTCTTGGTGAGGTACTCCAGGAACTTGCCATACGGCCCGGCGAGGGAGAGCAGTTCGGCGAGCTCGACGTGGCGCGGGGCCGGCGCCGGCGCCGGGGTCTCGACGATCGGGGCCCGTGCCTTCTGGGACAGCGCGCCGCGGGAGAGCGCCAGGCAAAGCAATGCGCTGACGAGAACAGCCGCCTTGGGCTCCATTTCGGCAAAACTCGACCGTGTGTATTACAGGATGGACTTGCTACAAATGCACCTGATCGATGGAGGCTCTGGTGAATCTCTACGAAGGCGAGACGTATTTATAGCACATGGTACTTTGATGGATGGTATAAAACTATAGCCTGGAAGTACAGGCCGGGGTTGGCGCTGCGCTGGTGTTAGCTATGCTGTCGATGTTGAGTGGTCAACTGGAGATCTGAACATGGTGATATGGTTCGGGAATGTTTTGTCTGCAGGTAGCGGGGTGACTGCAATTTTGTTCTTCTGATATGCAGGAACTCTCTGCAGGTACCTTGGAACAAACAGGACCCGCTTTGGCTTCAGTAAACTTTTCTGGGGCTGTGATTTTACAGTGGTGTCAAAACCTTCAGGCATAGTAGTATGTCGTGATGATAGTTGAGCACGTGTGCTTAGCCCTTCAGTTGTCGTGCGATTTACACGCCTGGACGTTCCACGCGACAGATACTCCAATTTATTTGTTTTTGAAAAGGAAGCTTTTCTACAATAGAATAGTACAATTTGGATTATCTAGAGAATAGATCAAGACCGGGGAGTATTAAAATGGGGGCACCGACGGAATGCATAGTAGAACCCTCTACAAAAATGCAGAATAGACGTGGAAACTGTTTTCTAGAGGACATGCCAACTGATACTTATCCGTTAAACAAACTAGTGCTGTGTCGGCCAACCCAAAACAGAGGTATGATGAATGAATGATCAAATAATAATGTAGGCCAAAAAATAAAGTACTAGTATTACATATAGTACACTCTGAATCTTTGATGCACGTAGTTTTGCTGCCCTGCAGGCTGCAGGTGAACAAACTCTTCTCCCCGGCGAAAGCTGGAGACGTGCACGCCTCGAGAATTCTGTCTCGGCGCTACTGGGGTGCCACCACCCCGTGTCTCACCAGAGCACGTACAGACGAGCATAGCTAAGCCAGATAATGGCCATGAGAGAGACGTGTCCCTCCCGTGTCGCCCCTGCACGGCGACCGGGGGAACCCTAGCGCCGCCGCGTCCTCGTCCCTCCCCCGACCTTTCCTCCTCGTCGCCGCCAGGGCGCGCTGCCGGGCGAAGCCCGGTCAGCGTCAGCGGCGGCGGGATCTCTTCTCCCACGGCTCGCTGGATCTGGCGCGGGTGGATCACGGCGGTGGTTGACAGCGCGCTGGAGGCGGGGCGCCGTCACGGGCTTGGGGGCGACGACAGTTTTCCCTAGTGTGCGTGGGAGTCCGCTCGGGGTGCGCGGCGGCGGCCCTTGGCAAGCTGTGGCGGGCGCTGGGCTCTCGGCGGCGCTCCGACGTGTGCAGGCGGCGGCTCCGTCTCTGACCTGGACGGCGCAGGGGATGGCGGCGGCCCGGCGTGGCCGGCAATCTGGATGTGGTGGTGCCGGCGGCTCGCTGATCTGCTGGTGCTCCAGGATTCTGCCTGGTGGTGCTGGTGGTGACGGCGGCCCATGCACGAGAGTTGGATCCCTTCGAACTGACCTAGGTGAAAACTTGCCTTCGGCGTCTGCTAAGGCCGGTGGTGGCGGTGCTATCTGCGCCGTTCCCTTATTGTAGGCATCGCCGTGGAGAAGTTCAAGGCCACTCTCTGCTATCTTTGAGGGAAATCCTAGACCGGATGATCGGATGACGGCGGCGCTCTGGTGTCGTTCCTTCCTTGGGGGCGTCATTCTTGGAGGTACACACGTGATTGAGGGACCAGAGGACAGATTCTTTGGTGGAGCGGTGCTTCATCCTACACACTTATGGCGACGGATCTTGTGGCGTGGCGCAGTGCAGATTCGGAGTTCGCTGTGGGAGCATGGACTCGCGCAGGAGGACGACGCTGTCGGGCGTCGTGGTGGCGTCGATGGCAGAGAGACCTGACACGGTACATGCAACAGTACAACTCTAAAAATGGATTAATGGAAGGTGGTTGCGGCGGCCTCAATACCCGGCAGGCGTCCTGGTTGAGGAGTGCGTTGGACTGGTAGGTACCCCATACCCGGCAGGCGTCCTGGTTGAGGAGTGCGTCGGACTGGTAGGTACCCCATACCCGGCAGGCGTCCTGATTGGGACCTCAGGTCTTAGATGTTTATGTTTGGCTGCGATGTCTGTTTGGTATTAGGCCCAGACTATTTGCGCCCTTCATCAATTGGATAGATGTTGCGACAGTTGTTACTTAGACGGTGGCTTTAGTCTTGCTGTTGTATGACTTTGTAAGGTCTTGCAAGAATAATTAATACAATGGCCGTATGCATCGCCCAGATACAGGGGATCATCCTCCTTTTCTAAAAAAAAGATAATGACCTATATGTCCATGTCACGGCTGATACCCGAATCACAATTCACGCGTGCGAGGAAGGAAGCACGACTTAACGAAACGTGTGCGCCTGCCTCGTTTCTGTTTCCCCATTATTCTCTCCGGCAGAGGAGGAACGAACGAGTTTTTTAGGGGCAAGAAGCAAGTGGAGCTTCATTCTTCGTTTGTTCTTTGAGCTCGGCACTAGTTGGTGTTTACTTGTCATTTGAATCTCGGAAGCAAATGAAGTTCAATGGAAGCGAAGGGGTTGAAACGGTAAACACATAATGTCTCTTCAAGGACCTGTTTAATCCAGACCTAATTTTTTTCTGGAGCGGATTCAGATCTAAGGGCATCTCCAACGCCGTGCATCAAAACGCCGCTAAAGCGCGCAGCATCGTCCATCAAATGTCCGCGGACCGATCCACTTGTTCGAATCCATAAAAATGAAAACAAAGCTAGAGAGGTTTGGGGGAATCCAGACAGCCGCCACGACGAACTCCGACACACCTAGCCCACACAAACCCTTTGAAAATTCTAAACACAGTGTCCGTTTACAGAGTTTTACGGGCTCTTTCCAAACTAATCTTCTCCCTCCCCCCGACCCACCCACCGCCTCGAATTTCAGCGGAGTGGGCCCCTCACTTTATTTCTACCCAATAAACACATGCCAGATAAGCCACTCCGTCGATTTTCTGTAAAATGTTGTTCATGCGTGTAGCATTTTCTCAAACCCCCTTCCGGAGCCCTTTCTCACCACCCCGTACCTCCCCTCTTGGGCAAAAACGACAAAATTGACCTGTGGACCGAAAAATTCACAAAATGAGCCGTTGGTGAAAAAAATTCACACAGCTAACCCTTTTGTGTAGCATCCGACAGCCAGGTGATGATGATATAGACCTGGGGTAGGGTCATAGGCCTGAGCTATACGCCCTACCCAAGGTCAATACCCTAGAAGCAAAGACATCCAAGACACAGCATGGAGTACCAATTGGAGACGTCGAGTGCAATCCACTCGACCAGTCACCTCACTTGGGTACCCCTCCCTCTTAATATCATTTGACCATACAGGAAATCACTCGACCTATCGAAGGCCAGGAGTCGACCAGAATAGCAACGGTCAGGCGTTCACTTCGTAGTCTTTAAGATCATTAAAAGCACTTTATGGTTGGCGTTATCAGTAACACCCCGTCTTTATGTACATTGAACTCTTGGTAACGGGGGATGGCTGGGGTCCTGGCGCACTCTATATAAGCCACCCCCTCCTCATGGCACCGAGACGTAGGGCTTTTACCTCCTCCGAGAGGGGCCTGAACTCGTAAACACTCGCGTACAATCTCACCGTAGCTAGGACCTTGCCTCCTCATTCGTACCCCCTATACTTACTGTCAGACTTAGAACCACGACGGTTGGCGCCCACCTTGGGGCAAAGCGTCTTAGCGACTTCCGGCGAGGTTGCATTTTCTCCGATCTTCATCAGCATGGTTTCCAGCGGCGGTTTGGTCATGGGCCGCGAGTTTTGACTCGACGAGCTCACTTTTGTCGCCGACGACTCCGCCTGGCTCCAGGAGGCCCCCCTCGATGTCGAGGCCCTCCCGGCTCGTGGCTCGTCGCACTTCCGCGCGAGTTCCTGCGGCATCCTCCTTCGGCAGCCGTCTTCCCCATACCAGTCGGTCATCGCATCGTCATCTCACTCTGATGGACGCCGTCGCAAGCAGTCTGGGCGTTCGTGGCTCCAGCGGTGGGTGAGACACGCGGTGGCTCATCAGGCGTTCACCCCCAAGTCGCGGCGATCAAGCCTGACATATTTCCCTGCGGATCGGTCGACCTGTCGACTGATTTCATAGATACCTTTTCTGAGAGCGGGAGTTGTGACCCCGCGGCGGAGGTCCTCATGGTCGACTCCCATCGCGGTCCGCCTTGTTTTCATCACAGCGGCGACGGCGGTAGAAGTGACGGCCCTTCATTCAACCATGAAGAGTATCAGCCCCAACCTCTCAGCTCGCAGCAGAGGGAGGAGCTGCATCGCCGCAACGTAGAGGCTCTCCAGACCCCCATCATAGGGGAAACCGCCGAGGCCCGGACCTTGGAGGCAGTGCCCCTGGCCACTCTAGCTGAGCGTACTTGTCTGGAGAATCTCCAACATTCTCTCCATGAGCATGCTCGTCGACTGATCCCTAAGTCCAGTCGACGTCCACGGCAATTGTTTCCACTAGAAACTCAGGTATTCCGTGCACCGATTCAGAATCTTGCAGCTGCTGCGCGTATTGCAGAGTCCATTCAGCCGTCCTGATCAGAGGCTGGAAGAGGCTTGAAACAGATCAGAACGCTGCTCCGAGCAGCAGGAAACTAGAACTCCGCTGTGTCCCAGTCGTGGAACAGAATCCATAGCAGATCAGTAAGAGCAGACACCGTTTAGTCGGCGCATAGTCCTAGGTCGCCTTTGAGGCATGGACACCATGATCACCGCCAGGATCGGCACCTGGGAAGAGCTCATGGAGAATAAGATCGTGAGTACGCCCGCGACAACCACCATCGAGCGCCTTCACCCCTTCCGAGGGACGGGTCATACGCGCCCCGGTGATATGATGACAGGCGTCCATATGGGAATGACCGCAGAGTTCTAGTCGACCCCAGAGAGCCCGGCTTCGATGCAAGGTCCGTCCTTGTGCAGGGTTTGGTCGACCGGAACAGAGC